TACTTACACATGGTGACATGGTTACTGTAGTCAAGCGAATCAGTATGTCCATCTCACAGAAAATTCTAACATACCCTTAACAGGAGATAATTCTTTTAAACTGTATCATAGAAAATTAAGAAAGCCATCCAGCTCTCTTTTAATATAACAATAAGACATTAACATCAATGCCTGACAAAAATTTCACTAAAAAACAAAAGCAAGACTAGAGACCAAATTTTATTGTTAATATTGATAAGGAAATCCTAAATAAAAAAATTAGTGAACTGAACCTAGTAACACATTAAAAGAATTATTTATAATTTGATATAAAAATCTATATAATTCATTTTATGGGTAAATCTAACAAGAAAAATACATCACACTCCATGGATGCTGAAACCTGACATCTTTTTGATTAAAATAAATTGTTTAAGTGGGGATAGGTGGTTTCTGCTACATGACAAATATATTTGTATCACAGTCCTAAACCTGGCCCCTTATTTTCTATATCTATATTTCTATATTGTGCCAAATTTTACATTAAACTAGCAAGAGAAAGAAAATAAAGTCATAAAAATTGGAAAGTAGTTGACAAAACTATGGCTATTGTGAAGAATTATTCATACATAAAGAAGTATTTATTGAGTCTTGTTATAATCTTGCTCTCTCTATATATAAAAGCAAACAATAAGCATTAAAAGATCTAAGAGGTTGGGCATGGTGGTTCACACCTGTAATCTCAGCACTTTCGGAGACTGAGGTGGGAAGACTGCTTGAGCCGAGGAGTTTGAGACCAGCCCGGGCAACATGGTGAAACCTTGTCTCTACAAAAAATAAACATAAAAATAGGCATGGTGGTGCACACCTGTAGTTCCAGCTACCTGGAAGGCTAAGGTGGGAGGATCACCTAAGCATGGGGATATCCTGGCTGCTGTGAGCCGTGATGGCGCCACTGCACCCCAACCTGGGCAAGAGAGTTAGACCCTATCTCAAAAAATAAAATAAATAATAAAAGATTAAGAAAGTACCTTATTCTCAGTAGAAACCTAAAAGAATAATATAGCTAGGAATAAGCATAGCAAGGTATGTGCAAGACCTGAATGAGGAAAATTTTCAAACACTCTTGAAGGACACAAAAGACAAATAAAGATGTGAATTCACCCTATATTATGATCTTATTGAAATAGTATGATCTTATTGAAAGTACTAACAGGGTTCCTTGTGTGACCATTTGTTTATTTTGAAAATAGATAAGCTAATTCTGAAATTCACATAGAAAATGTATAAAGATTTCTGAGAAAAGTAACTGTGTAGTACTGGTACTGGCACATGAATAAATAGACCAATGGAAGAAAAGATTTGGATTTTTGATGGGGGAAAAGATGAATGGTATATAAGTAGCCATCTGGAAACAAACAAAGTTAGATTCATTCCTCATACTGAATACCAATATGTATTCCAAATGTACTAAAGATTTGAATAGAAAAATCAAAACCCTACATTTATTGAAAGGAAACCTGGGAGAATCTTTTGAACGTGGGGAATGAAGGAGGCTTTGCTAATTATGACTCCAAATGTAAAAACTGTAACAGAAAAGACTGATAAATTCAAATATATTTTTATCAAATTTCTGGAAGTAAAACAAGCAAAAAACATCATAAGCAAATTCTAAAATGCAAATGACATACTGGAAAAAAGTATGCAGCTTCTGGTACAGAGAAGGGTTTAATCACCCTAACAAATGAAGATGCCTTACAAATCAACAAGGAGAATACCAAGGAATCATGAAAAAATGGGCAATAGACATGAATAAGCTCTTCATAAAAAATAGAAATACAGTCAATTTTTGAAATGCATGATAAAATGCTTCTCTCATAAAAAGGAAACTGAAACTGAGATCCTGTTTTATGTATTAGACTTGAAACAATGAATATGTCTGATATCATAGTCTATCGAAGAGGCTTTGGAAAATGGGCAGTCTTGCTTGTGAGAGTATAAATTGGTAAAATCACTAGTGAGAATAACTTTTCAATTTCAAAATTAATTACGAATGCATAGACCCCTTTGATCTACAACTTTCACTTTCAGGAACTTATCTCAGAGAGAAGCATGTATAAAATGACCCAGGTAAGGTTATTTATTGTAGCATTGTCTGTAGAACAAGCTCAGAAGCTACTAAATGTCCATTAATAGTAGAATGGATAAGTAAATTATGGTATATCTCTACAGTTCTACAAAAGAGTGAGAGTGTTCTATATATAGTGAAAAGGAAATATTTCAATATACGTTGTAAGGTAAAAAACCCAAAGCCCAGAAAAATGTCTGTAGTATGCAACTATTTTTGTGACAAGGGGAGATATAATAATATATATTCAAGTTTGCTTATATTTGCATAAATATTGGAAAGAAACTGATTTAGTCCGGGCGCCGTGGCTCACGCCTGTAATCCCTGCACTTTGGGAGGCCGAGGTGGGCGGGTCACAAGGTCAGGAGATCGAGACCATCCTGGCTAAGATGGTGAAACCCCGGCTCTACTAAAATACAAAAAATTAGCAGGGCGTGGTGGCGGGCGCCTGTGGTCCAGCTACTCGGGAGGCTGAGACAGGAGAATGGCGTGAACCCAGGAGGCGGAGCTTACAGTGAGCTGAGATCGTACCACTGCACTCCAGCCTGGGCAACAGAGCAAGACTCTGTCTCAAAAAGAAAAAAGAAAAAAAAGAAACTGATTTAATAATAACTGTGGTTATCTGATAAGAAGGGGAGAATAGGAATTGAAAGAGATCAAAGTTGGAAGGTGAAACTTTGGATAATTTTAAATTTTTGCACTGTATGAATTTTTTCTTTATTAATAAACTTAGAAAATAAATTGAAATTAAAAATGAATTCCATTAGGATAATGATGTAGCCAAGGTATATTGTAGGCAATGATTTTTCTTCTTTCCGTGTTTTTGATTAAGAGAGACATCAAAGGTGAGTGTAGATGGTGTCGTTACTACTACTAAAAAAACCAAAAAAACAAAAAACCAAAAATCCTCAAAATACATACTTAACCGAAAGTTGGCAAATAACATTTATAGGCACAAGGTCAGCACATTTTGTACCCTAAAGCGATTTTGACTATGTTTTCTGGGTGTGTGTCTGTTCTAGTCAGTTCTGATTGCTATAACAGAATACCATCAACTGGGTGGCTTAAACAACAAATATTTATTTCTCACAGTTCTGGAGACTAGAAGTCTGAGATCAGCATGCAGATGTGGCTGAGCCCTTGGTGAAGGTCCTCTTCCTGGCTGGCACATGGCCATCTTCTCTTGTATCCTCACATTGAACAGATTGAGAGAGAGAGCATGCAAGCATGGGCAAGCGCTCTAGTGTCTCTTCTAATAACGTGTAATCTAATCCAAGAGCTCCCCCCTCATGATCTCATCACCTCTCAAAGGCTCCACCTTCTAATACCATCACAATGGGCACGGGGTTTCAACATACAATATTTTGGGAGGCACAGGCATTCCCTCCATAGCACTGACCCCTAGAGCTGCTTGAGCTGCTTTTAGAAAGGTATTGTGTCTATATGTATATATGTTTCACCCTTATAACTTGAACGCTGGCCAATGTGCCTTCTCCTTACCCCTTTTTTGATTATTTTTCCCCATCACTTGCATTAAAGCGTTAGTATCAAATCAAAGAAAGATTAAATAAACATAGTTAATATTAAGCAAAGATATAATAAAGGAATGGCGCTCACATGGCTTGGTATTGTTGTGTAGTATGTCACCCTCATGTGATTGTTGGCTAGACATTCTCCAACACATTGAAGAGAGGGGAGGGATAGTGTATTAGTCCATTTTCACACTGCTGAGAAAGACATACCTGAGAGTGGACAATTTACAACAAGAAGGAAATGGACTTACAGTTCCACGTGGCTGGCGAGACTTCACAATCATAGTGGAAGGTGAAAGGCACATCCCATATGGTGGCAGACAAAAGAGAACTTGTGCAGGGAAATTCCACTTTTTAAAACCATCAGATCTTACGAGACTTATTCACAATCACAAGAACAGCACAGGAAAGACCTGCCCCCATGATTCAGTACCTCCCCCGCTGGGTCCCGTGGGAATTCAAGATGCGATTTGGGTGGGGACATAGCCAAACCATATCAGATGGGAAAGAGGAAAATTAACATTTGCTGAGTTTTACATACAGTTTCATATTTGGTTCTTGTTGCAATATAATTTAGGTTGGTAAACAACCTTTTCTTTTTTACAGATGAGGAAGCTGAGGCTCAGAGAGGTCAGTGGAGTGAGGAATTGAACAAGTGCCTATCATTTCAGGGCCGTCTCTTGCCGCTTCACCAAGTTTACTTTTTTCACGTAATGCATAGTCTTAGTAAAAGACTTGATGTGGGATACAGTTACAAAGGGATGACCAAGAAAACCAATAGAGAGGAATGTGTCAAAAATGGGAACAAAGGGTATGAGAAGGGGAAGAAAGATAAACTGTGTTTGGTAGAAATGGTACCTTAGGCTTAAGTGAGGCATTTTGGGATTTTTTTCCATGCTTTTTGTCTCTACTACATTATCTTGGTATGTGATCATTGGGTATAGCATTTTTGTTGTTGTTGTTGAGAAAGTGAGATATTTGAATGATACCTCTTTACAAAGTTACCTTCAATGGACTCCCTTCCTTTGAAGGCTGATGGGGTTGACTCAGCTAGTTGGATGTTCCATTGAGTCTTTGTTGCCCTTCGGGAAGCACATTGCTGATGAGGAGAACTGCAAGCATTAGAGCAAGATTCATGTTTTTAAATGTTGTTTCATGAGTAACTACTTTTGTCCTAGTGGTTATTTTTGTTCATGCTGCTAGTGGAAGGCCTCGGTCCTCAGTGGTAAATAGAAATCTCAGTAGCAGATAGTAAACAATAGGGGGAAGAAAAAACCCCTCAGATATAGACAAGGGCAGACCTGTTTATGGTGAAAATGAAAATGGATTGAAAATTATTTTTCTGGTACCTTGTTTCCTAGCATCCTGATGAAAAGAGATTGGAAGGCCTCTCCAAGCAACTGGACTGGGATGTTCGAAGCATTCAGCGCTGGTTTCGACAGAGACGCAATCAGGAGAAGCCAAGCACGCTGACGAGGTTCTGTGAGAGCATGTAAGCTGCTGTTTCTCTTTTTGAAAGAAAAGACCTAAGTACTCATGCCAACCCTGAGGTGAAAAATACAGATCTGTGCAGGCTTCAGCAGCCCTTAAAAAGCTGCAGTCAGGTGGGAAAATAGTTCAGGAAAAACACAGGAAGCAGTAGTTGGTAAGAATTTGTGATTTCTACTTTGGATACAGTAAATAAAGTTCACTTCTTAATGGAGTTTCTACAAAGTAAGCATATTATAAAAGGATCTACAATGGTCTTTTCAATCAGTCATCTTTGAAATATAGCATTAAAAGTCATTAGTTTTATAGATGTGGATAGTTTGAATTTTCATAACAACTTAGGTTCTTCCTACTAATAAAAACTGAGATATTAGGATATATTATCAGAGGGCCATGGCAATCTTCTGTATTCCTGGAGATTTAAGAAATGGCTATATTATATTTCTGGGTGAGTTTAATGAAGCATTGCTTGAAAGTGGGGGACGGAATGGAAGTCTCTTCCATCTCTGAAATGTGAACTTTATATAGTGTATAAATTATATATCAATAAAGCTGTTAAAAATATTAAAAGACCCACAGAGAGCTCTTCCAGCACAGTGATATTTTGAAGTGGTGATACTTCATGCACTTACCTATAGGAAAAAAAGAAAAATACATTGAAACATTGAGCACATCCCCAACAAAGGGAAGAGCTGCCCAGAGAGGCATTACCCAATGTGGTCTTCCATCTTTTGGGTGTTACTGTTCCTGTGTCTTCTAATAGTTTCTCCATTTCTTCTTTCGGGAGCTTTTTCCTGACACCTGGTCATTTAAACAATAGTGCTTTCAGCGTAGCTCTCTTAGTTGCAGGCCCTTTCTGTTTGGGGTTGAAGTTGCATTTTCAGCTTTGGCTTTCAATTATGTCAAAAAAGTATTTCAGTAATTGTATCCTTAGAGGGAAACCTAATGTTATAGGAGAAATGAATGGAAGGCAGAAAAATATCACAAATTCCTAGGGATGGGGAAATACGGAGAACATGAACAGGGTCTTTCGGAGGTGAGAATATTTATAAAGTCGGGAAAAACAACCTGGTAGATACGATCAGCAAAGCCCTCTCAGTAAATGAACTTAGTGGCAGTCTATGAGAGAAGGATTTATGTATCTAGGCTCCTGGTCAAAAGCCAAAATTGCTTCCCAGCTTGGCCCTGCCATATATCCAAAGGGCCTGGGCTCCGTCTTTGAGCCACAAGTCCGAGTAAGGGTGAAGCTGGGTCTCAGCACATGTCTGCGTGCTGAACATCATGTGCCATCTTTCCCTCCTCTGACTAACTTCTTTGGTACTTTGGTGCCAGCCCCTACTATGCTGAGTCTACACCAGTTTCTCTCAAATACCTCTGTATTTGAGATTTTAAGATAAGCATCAGTCACCTGAGGATCATGTTAAAATGCAGAATCTGATTTACTTGGTCTGGGATGGCAGCATTTTTAACAAGTTTCCACGGGATGCTGGTGCCATTGGTCTAGAGATCACACTTTGTGTAGCGAGTACTAACTCTAGACCAGTGTCTATGTCTTCTCCATGAATTCCACAGGTCATTATGTGCATACCACAATAAATAAGACAGTCATAGTTATAATCAATTACAAATGCTTCTAAATGATTGCTAGTGGTATGGTAATATGGAGGCACCATGATGGGGAAGAGATGGTACATAAAATAACATCATTTCTTCCATCAAGAAACTTGTAATAGTGTTGTGGAAGTAAGACATAATATCTTAGTATGTGTAGGTTGAAGATAGATATTAGAAAATAAGCAGATATGGGGCCAGGTGCAGTGGCTCACGCCTGTAATCCCAGCACTTTGGGAGGCCAAGGCGGGCGGATTACGAGGTCAGGAGATCGAGACCATCCTGGCTAACATGGTGAAACCCCGTCTCTACTAAAAATACAAAAAGTTAGCCAGACGTGGTGGTGGGCGCCTGTAGTCTCAGCTACTCGGGAGGCTGAGGCAGGAGAATGGCGTGAACCCAGGAGGCGGAGCTTGCAGTGAGCTGAGATTGCACCACTGCACTCCTGCCTGGGCAACAGAGCGAGACTCCATCTCAAAAAAAAATAAATAACCAGATATGTGTGTTGTAGGATTGATATGGATAGTCAGTAAAGATTAAAGGGAAAAGATCAACTGTAGGTTGGGGTACACGGGGGGTTTGCTGGGATTAGAACTGGGTCAGTGTCAGTGGCCTTTCATCTTTCTGTTGTATGATATAGTATTGATGAAGTTTTGTTTTGAAACTCTCTTCTTCCTTGGTTTGTGAGTTGCCACTAGATTCTCTTGCCTTTCCAAGGTCTTTTGTTTGCATCATTTATTCTGTGTTTGCTCTGTGGTCTTTAATGTGTTAATGACACTCCAGATTTAGTCTTCAATCTCATATTTTCCTTACCCTACCTTCCATTCTATGTGTTAAAATCATTTCCTCTCACCAGCTTCTTCCAAAGCCATGTGTACAGTGCAGATGTTTCTTCTAAGGCATCATTTTGCCAGCTCCAGCTAGCAATTCTAATTTGCTTCCACTCCTGACTTTACTTTTCCTTTTGTTTTTATGCTTCCGTTTTGTCATAGGCTGGAAACTCAAGTCAATCAGCCACTGAGTTCTATTAATTCTTTGTAAATTCACCATTATAGCCCAAAATGCTTTCATATGTCTCCTTATTTTTTTTTATCTTGCATACACATAGACATTTTGTTTGCTACCAAAAAAATCCCAAATTATTTTTCTAAAATACTACTATCCCTATGTTCTGATGCTTTAAAACTTTGATGATTTTAAGACAACTATAGGATAAATATTAGGTCCCTGAGCCTGATAACTAGAGTCTATCTTTTGCTTGTTTAATGTCCGTTACCCAAATGACATCTTCCTTCTAGAGGGTTGTGTTTTCACTGTCTGTGCCTTTTTCCTTCCTGCCTTGTATATGGTGTTCCAGGCCAGGAACTTCCTCTGCCTCACCCACTTATCCCCTCACCATTCTTCAAATCCCAGGCCCTCTGTGAAGGGCGGCCTGACTATTGGGACTGGAGTGAGCACAGCTTCCCCTACATCCTTAGAGTACTAGGAATTTAACCCTGAATCACATACTGCCTTATGTGGTTACTTAACTTGTTTAACTATTTCAGTTCCAGTTCTGTGTTGCTTGAAGACCACAGGGTCACATCTTGTTCTTTCATTCCTCTCAGTCTTTACCCCAACAGACAGACTCTGCCAAATAAATAATTTGTTATGACTGTGTGTTAAAATGGCATTGTTTTGGAAAGAGTTGCTGACCTCATTTGTCACCTTGCTCCTATAAATGAGTGCCTAATATATACTGCCTTAGCATAAAATTTGTCTAGGAAAATTACCTGACTATAGAAAGCTCCATGACAATTTTAAAGGCAGAAATTCAGAGGAAAGAATGGAATGGCAAAGGAGAACATTTAGAGAACACCATGAGGGATAAAGTAGAATTATAGTGGTCTCTGTATGCAAATGTGTGTGTCATACTTACTTACCTATATAAAAAAAGATCTAGAATAGTTGTTCTTAACTAAGGGTGCATTTCACAATCACCTAGTGATGTTTTCAAAATACACGTGCCCGAGCCCCATCCCAGGGTGTCAGGATGATGACTCAGGTACAGTCTGAACATGTATATCATGGAAAAAAATGCCCCAAGTGCTTATAACACACATCCCTGGTTAAGAAGAAAGATAATTGCTGCTCAGAAATACTAAAAATCAAATGAGAAAACAAGAGAACACAAATTTGGAGCTTGTCACCTGAGGGTCAAAATGTAAAGAATCTATAATTTTTCTGTTATATAAGTTTCTATTTTCCAAAATATAGAATTCCTTCAGGATAATTGTATTTCATCTTTCAGCAGTGTGGAATAGCACCAACATGCAAGCCAAACTGTGCTTGTAAGCATATGCAGGCATGTCCAATTTCTGGCACATCCATTACATGTAGATGGACTGAGTAGAAGCTGTTTAGCGAGTAAAATGCTAATACATTGACGTGATTTTTTTTTCTCTTGCTTTATGTCAGTCATTCACAGTCATGTTAGTTTTGACAAATACTTCTTGCAAAAGCGTTGAAATTCTTATTGGCAACTTAAATAGAGCATTTCAAGAGAGAGTGAAGAATTTATAAAAATGAGATGTCATTTGAGACGTTTTGGAAGCAACTGGTTCCTAATGGAAGCAGGTGCCGGTTGGGATTATGCCTTTGGACTGGGGAAGCTGTATCATCCTTCTCTGACAATTGCATCCAAGTGGGTTTTTATCACTCAGGATAATATAAAATAAATAATGTATTAAAATATTTGCTGGATATAACAGGAAGAAGCGGAGATAAGATATCAGAATAAATGGCATTCCTTTCATTTGGACCCTACCTGTGCTCATCATTTTTGAGTATCGTGCAGTACATTTCATAGCACAGGTCTAGGAGGACGTATAATATAGGGCTTTTATTTAAGCAGTCTCAAAGATTGGAAAGATGAATCTCCCATATGTAATCTGAAAATCTATGGCAAGGAATATTCACACTAATACTCAGCGATTTGAATTGGAGCTTACTCCATATGCTGCTGAAGTTACGGAGTTTGTTGAGTAAGGTGACAGCTCAAGATTCCCTTTTCTTTAGGAATTCCATTTTAGAATTGATACTGATTAAAACTATCCCCCAATCCTTCCATATTTGTATGTTTCTGTATAGTGGCAGCAGACTCATCAAAACCTGGGATCCTTTCGAAATTGTGACTATTTCTGCAAAGAAGCCCTGTGATTTTTCTTAGTTTGTGATTCCATTGAACGTGAGCTAATTCATCATTGAAAAATGAATGGGTTAACCAATTGCCTACATGCTTCTAACTTGGTCACCTTGAATCTAAATAGCAGTTTTTACAGCTGTTTATAAATTATCAGTGCTATCTTGTGACCTTCATAGAAAGTGGAGCCTAATAATTGATGACAGGGGAAG